CGCAGCTGAGACCGCTCCTGGGGAACCGGCAGTACATCAGGAAATTCTACGCAGGTAAAGAGAAATGGGCCTTTTCCTTCCTATTAGGAAGATACCTAGCTGCTGGCATTTCCAAGCCACGTGGGAGTGAGGGGGGATGGCAGAAAAGGTGGTTTGCGTGTGAGTAACCGGCGCTGTCAAACCACGCGGCTGAGAGGGACTCCCCCGAGCAGCAGTTTTCTCTCCCCAGACACTGCCTTCCTGCTCAGTGACGCCCACGTCACGGCCATGCTGCAGTGCCTGGAGGCTGTCGAGCAGAACAACCCCAGGCTTCTGGCTCAGATCGACACCTCCATGGTGAGTTGAGGTCCCAGCTTTTCCATCTGGCTCTCTCCAGACACCGGCTGGCTGTGGCTGCTTGTGCGAGGTCTCATTCAGGGCACACGGGGCACTTGGACAAGGGGCTGGACTTGGAAGTAGCAAAAGGAGCTCCAAGAGGGGAGGAGAGCGGTGAACTGGTCCCTGCGCTGTCTGCGCGAGCCTGGCAGGGGTTGGGATGGGGGAGGTGGCTGTGTGGAGCCTGTAGTGAGGTACCTCGCTTCTGGCTGGCATCGAGGATTTGAGCATGAGGACCTGAGGACCAGTTCCTTGTCAGAGGCACCTCTAAAGCCCTCTCCAACAGGCCCAGGCTTCAGGGCCAGCAAGCAGAGCTGCTTGGTCATGAGGGACAGCCACTTTCAGAGGGGTCGAGCGGCACCCCAGGACACCTGGGTGCCCACTCCTGCTGGTGACGCCAGTGACCCCCCGTGCAGCCCTCTGCCAGCTGCCCCCTCCCCAGAGGAGGGAACAGTGACTGCTTTCTTTGCACAGAGCTCCCCAGAGGAAGGCAATTAATGAGGCTTCGTTAAATGGGGGCTGTGTTCTTTCAGCTGGCCGGCACGTCACTGCCATCCCTGTGCGCGTCAGGTCCTTCTGCTGGGACAAGAGAGATGTGTGACCATGATGCTGAAGGACAGGAGAGCCGTCTGCCTGGAGCGCTGGGCTGCCTGGATCGTTTCGCTGAGAGCCTGGTAATTTCCTGATAGGAGCCTGCCATGTAGCTGCGAACAAAAAGCCTCTTCCCTTCTGCACCGCGGTGTTTTTCCCTCCCCATACTCCTGCCCCCAGGGCCCCCCGCCCCCCGGGCCTGCCACATCCTTTGCTGGCTGGTGACCAGACGCTCGCAGGTCGATTCCTTTCCGTTGTTGCTCCTTTGATGCGTAGCTCTGTAAATGCTGATTTATTAATGACGCCACCTCTCTTCAGCTTACCAGGAAGAGTGACGGTCCACCTCCGGTGACCAAGAGTCAGAGCCTGACTGCCCTCCCCGCGTCCCCGAATGTCCCTTCTGCAGGCTGCATGCAGCAGCGCTGCTTTGGGTCCTTCTCCGGCCTCCACCATCCAGCCTCGTCTGGCCTCTCAGGTAATGAGGATGGGCTGGGAAGCTCAGGATAGACCCAGAAAAGACTCTGTCTTTTTGTCTGCTCTTGGATTTGTTGTGGTGGATGGGTGCGAGAAGATCTCTGCCCACGATGGGAGGGAGATCCCTGGCCTTTGCCCATGGTGGGTGGGCATGCCGGTGTGAAGCCACAAGCTTATTCCTGTAGGGTAGTCTGCTTATGCCGGGGTGTGTGACGTCCTGCTCCTGCCTCTGTCCAGATGGGAGACCAGCGAGCTCCTCCATCAGCTCCAGCACCAGCCAGCCCCAGGAGCGCTGCCCGTCCACCCGGTCCTCCTCCTTCAGCGAGGGCAGGTCCCCTCTGGAGCAGCCCGGTTCTGTCACCAGCTTCCATGTCCCCTCACCCAAAGACCCCTTCTCTCCGGCCAGCGAGATGAGCTCCAGCACCACCAGCCAGAGCGAAGACACTTGGACGGGGAGTCAGGATGATCCGCAGAGCGATGTTAACGATGGACCGGAGTACCTGGCCATCGGGAACTTGGGGCGCCGGGGCCGGGCATGCAGCAGTGCCAGCACCAACAGCACCAAGAGCAGTAGCTCCAAACTATTCTCCTCCAGCAGCTCCCAGAAGCTGGACTCAGTGTCATCCCTGGGGGAGCAGGGGGCAAGCGGAGGTGGAAGCAGGGGCCTGAGCCTGTTGCGCCGGTCCAGCTTCTCGGAGGGACAGTCATCAGCTCCGCAGGGCATCCTCAAGAAGAGCCACGTCCGCTCGCACTCCGACACCAACATGGCTTCGGGGAAGTTGCACGGTAATGGGGCAGCTTTTCGGGGATGGCTTTGGGGTGTGGAAGTCCATGGTACCAGGAGGCTGATGCTGGCCACCCCTTTGATTTCATGCATCAGGTCGGCGAGGGGAACAGTGGGCGAGCGGTTGTGAAATTTGGTCTTTGCCCTTAGCTTTCCTGCTCCGCACTGGAGTGATGGGCTGACATCTTGCTTCCCAGAATGCCCTGGCCTGGTCTGTTACTGGTATTGGCAGCTTTTACCAAAAACTTAGAAAATGGCAGCGATGCTGTGGCATTAGCTGTCCTGCTTCCCCACTGGCCTTGCCCGGCTGGGGCATGGGGCCAGGGCAGGGCACTGGGCTGGGGCCTGGGCTCATCCTACTGGTAGGATGTCATCCTAGTGGTAACCTGCTGGGTCCTCCTGTGCTCTTGAGTGGGTGAATGCATGTTGGGGGGGGAGAGTGGGATGTGAGGGGACAACCAGTTTGTGGGAGTCTGCCCCACCAGTGCTGCCTTCATGGGAGAAGTGGAGGTCTTTGCTGAGTAGTAACCAGTCTGTCTCTGTTTTCTCTCCCTTAACGCTGCCCTCCTCCTCCAATCTCTGCCCAGGAGGCCTCAGGGATATCACCATTATAATAGAAGATCCAGTGGCAGGTTTGGGAGCCAGTATAACAGCCCTTCATTAGTGATCATTGCATCAAGTTCAGGATTTCCATCAACCCATTAATGTCCATTCAGAAAACAAAAAAAAAAATCTTTCTTCCCTGTGTCCCAGCTGGTGCTTTGAAGCGTGGTCAGGTTTATGCATGCCACCTGACTGAAGATCCCAGCTTGGTTTTTGGGAGCAGTGGACCAGACCCAGAAAGGCGCCCAACTCCCCTGCATGGTGTTAGCGCTGGCCACCAAGTCCCGGAGCTGCGTCCCCTGCCCTTCCCTCCACCCCACTGCCTTGGGAGCCAGGAGAGGTTTTGTCTCTCATGTAGTGAGTAGGGGCTAGCAGCTAAGCAGGCGCGGGCTTGAACATCTTATTTTCCTTTCATTTAGTGGATCTGTGGCATGGGGAGGTTTGACGTTGGCCGAGTTCAGCTGTGTCCCAGCCAGCTGTACTTGCACCCACAGCCAGGACTCTTGGGTGCTCTTCTGGGCTCGGGGCAGGTTTCCCTCTGAGCAGAGGTGCTGAGGTGCTGCCATCCCTTTGCCCCACAGGCAGAAAGAGTCAGCAGCTCAAAAAAATTAGCTGTTTTCTTTTGCATCCATTGAACAGCAGCACTGGGTTTGTCGAGCTCACATCTGGGTGCTGAGGGCTCTGTGGCTGGGAGGGTTCTTTCCTGGAGGTGGTGGGTGTTCACACAGATGTGTACAGCCCTGTGTCCTGCTCCAGCAGAGGATGCCGAGCACTGCCTCGCTTTGCCCTTCATTAGTAGGCTCTGTTGTATGTGGCATCCCTCAGGCTGGTGATCATAAGGTGGTTTCTGTGCTGGTTTTCAGCAGGGTTGAGGTGGCTGCAGGATACCCTGGCAGGCTGCAGTGAGAGCCTCCCACCCCGACGGGTCTCCTTTGTCACCCAGCCTGTGAGGTGGTTTGGTCCCAAGCCCCATCCTGGTGGCTGCTGCTTCATGGTCTTGGCAGGGAAATGCTGGTGTTGGTGGGCTCTGGAGCCTCCAACCACATCAGGGTTATGGCACAAAGCTGGGAGCAAAGAGGAGTAGGAGGTTGAGAAGATGGGGTTACCCTTCTGTTGCGCTCGGGATATCGGGATGTCAGCTGGCGTCTGCTCCGTGTCCACACCCGTATGTTCCTGTCCTGCTCCAGTCGGGGTGTTTTCAGTCTCCTTCAGCAGTCCTCCGTCACCCAGCAGCTCCATCCAGGTGCTCCCCAGGGCTGTGGCTCTCTGTAGAGCACCATCCGTTGTTGGTCTCCGGTCAGGCCAGCTCTTGGCAGTCCCCACCGGCTCAGCCCGGCAGGGAGTTGCACCACAGTGCGTGCATGGGGCAGAGCCTTGCACACAGCCTGGGTAGGTCACCTTGAGCACTGCAGCCCTGGCTCCAGGGTTGTGTGCAGGGAACCCTGGCTTCTAGTTGAGCAAGAGCATGTCCTTCAGATGCCTCCTTCTGCTGTCGTCCAGGCTGCTTTGCAGGACTGGGAGCCCCACAGATCCCTCGGCTGCTCAGGTTTCCCCTTGTCTCCTGACTCTCTGCCCTGGGGGATAACTCTTCCCTTGGAGATGCTCCAGCAAGAAGAAGGTGCTGGCAGAGGCACTTGCTGGAGCCTGTTGTGTCCCCCAGCTCTGCTGGGGGTAAAGAGGGAATGCTTGGGACTCAACTGCTCCGTGGCTCTCATGAGCTTCTCTCCTTCTTTCCCGTTCTCCTCTCCTGCCTGAAATGCCCTTCTAGTTTTGTCCTCTCCTGGGCTTGCCCTCAACCATGGCATGGAGCAGGAAGATGTCCCTCCTTGCTTCCCATCCATTTGTGCCTGCCCATGTGATGCTGAGCACCTTTCATTTCACCCTGTGCAATCGCTGGGCGCCTCCAGGATACTGATGTGTGCCTGGTGTCGTCTTCCCTTCCAGAGTCCCACGGTGATGCAGGCAGAGGGAGAGGGCTGGTCTCCGCTTCCACCCAGAGCAGTGAACTGAGCACACCCAGCTCCCTCTACATGGAGTACGGTGAGTACAGCCAGCCGCAGCGGGGAAGCTCGCTCCTGGTCAGGCTCCTCCATCGGCTGCGGTGGCCTCAGCTTCTGGCACCTGCTTGTGGGATGCTGGTTGGGCACTGGCAGGGCTCCTTAGCATGAGGATAGCAGCAGGTCCCTCCCTCATATGCTTGTCTCTTGCTTTTCTAGACTCTGGACAGTACCTGAGCTCGGGGGAAGGGATGTTCAGAAGACCCTCGGAAGGGCAGTCCCTCATCAGCTACCTCTCTGAGCAGGACTTTGGCAGCTGTGCAGACCTGGAGAAGGTGAGGGAGGCAGCAGTAGCCTGTGTGCATTAGAGAACGTATCTTACTGCAGGTTCAGTGATAACTTCCCTCCGTGGGGAAGATAATCCCATAGTATTTCCTGCTATAGAGCTGTGCACAGAACTTCAAAGTTGAGTTCCTCAGTGGTGTCTGGCAGCCAGGATCTGCCCATCCAGCATATACACAGCAGCTTTGCAATGTTAGGGCTCCTCAGGGACATGTGCTGACTCCCCAGAGTGGATGTGTTGCACATCCTCTTAGTAGGAAGCCCCTTGTGTTTTTTGTGAGTATTCTGGTGCCCAAGAAGGCTTTAATTTCTAGGTCCTTGTGGAAGAGTGAGGTTTTGTGGGGTCGGCAGGGATTAAGGTCTTTCTACCACCCTCCATGAGTAATAAGCTCTTTCCTGTCACAGGTGGGGAGCAAGATTTTACCAAGCCTTCCTAGTTTCTCCATGGTAAAGCCTTGAATGCTTTTGCTCTTGCCTTGCAGGAGAATGCCCACTTCAGCATCTCAGAGTCCCTGATCGCTGCCATTGAGCTGATGAAATGCAACATGATGAGCCGGCAGCTGGAGGAGGAGGAGGAAGACAGCGACAAGGAGATCCAGGAGCTTAAACAAAAGATTCGCATTCGGCGCCAGCAGATCCGCACCAGGCACCTCTTCCCTACCTGCCAGGAGATGGGCTCAGACAGTGGGTGATGTGTTTTGGGCTCATCAGCTAGTGGGATATGGGTTTTCTGTCCGTTGCCTGTCCTTAGAGCATCCTGCCTTCCTGCCCGTTCGTGGGAAACAACCATATTGCTACCGAAGTGCTGCAGAGATTTGTGAAACTCTGCTGCTATGGAAGACCATAATGGGACTGATACTGTATGTTGATAAAAGTTGTGCGCTGCTGGCGCTGAGTTATGAAATGTAATTTCATTTTGAACTCATGGTGTTTTCCATCTTTGACCTCCATCCCTCCCTGCCCTGGCCATACCTGGCCATCAACTTCTCCCTTAGCTGTCAGTGACCCTTCAGACCACTTCCGTTGATGGCCTGTGTTGCATTTCTCCCAGGTCTTGTGGCGACAGACAGTGGGTCCCAGTTCAGCTCCCACGGCTCCATGCGGCTCTCTGACTCTGGCTCCGCAGAGGATGTGGAAGAGTACGAGATCCGAGGTAGGAGGGAATGGCTGTGTTGGCTTCTTGCGTAGAGACAGACTTCTCCTTGGTGTGGTTGTGTTGAGGTCAGTCCAGCTGAAGAAGAGCATGTCCCTCTGGCCTTCAGGATGGCTTTTCCCAAACAAATGGCTGAATTCTGAGCATCAACAGAGCAACCAGTTTCCCTCATACGGTGGCATGACTTTCCTTCGAAATCCTCTGTAATCCTCTAGCATTCAGTGCCTCTGGCTGGTAGGTGGTTTCCATTTCATTACCTGGTCCACATAGCAGCTATCACAGCTAGAGAGAGGTGGGAGAGCTGCCATCCTGCTCTCCTCCTCCCCAGGCAGAAGGAGCCATAGCTCTGACCGCTTATCTCTTGGGTGACAGTGGTGGGCGCTGCTCACATCCTGGCCTGTAATACCTGTAGTCTCTGCTCCTGGCAGCTTGAGTGGCTGAACTTATTGCCCCCAGGAGACCTGTCTAGGTCCCTGGGTGTCCCTTTCCTTCAGAGCCTTGTTCATCCTCCAAGGTGGATGACTGACCTCTCAGCAGTACCTCCATCTCACTGACTTTAAAAAGAAGATGGAGCAGTCCAGTCACCCGCTATAAACTTCTCATCTCTTGACTGTTGACAGCAAAACCCTCCTTTCAGTCCCCGAGGTCTAGATTTTGGGCTCAGTTTTGAAGCCCACGGAGGGGTGTGTGAATTCAGTTCTGGGCTTCTCTTGTGTGAGTGCTGCTCTTGTATTATGCCCTTTCTCTTTGGCCTGGCTGAAGCACTGAAGTCAACTGTTTTATCATCACCGTGTTATACAGATGGTAACGATGGATCTAACCTGATTCAAATGTCCAAGAACGGCCTCTCAGTGTCAATGGCTTCCTTGTTCTCAGGTAGTACCCCGCAGTGCTCCCCTGCGGCACGCGTGCGTGTGTGTGCAAGGTGTGTGTGTGTGTGTGTGCGCACGTGCACACTTCTCAGAAATCTGCCTAATTTAGGAACTGTGAACAGTATCATCCAGATGTCAGCAAGAAAAGCCGTGGCAGGATGATAGGGCAGGATGGAGCAGAGAGGAGGCAGAGGAGCTCTGCCGTGGGCTCCATCCCCCAGGGCGTTTTGCCATGCAGTATTTTGGGTATACCAAATGTGCCTGCTGTGGTGAAGACCTGTGTTGCCTGGGGTAGGGCTTGGCAGGGCAATGACACAGCTTTGTGGCACTGTAGCTGCTGAAGGCTGAGCCTGGGCTGGATGAGAACAGAGTCCTCTATAGTGTGGGGCCAGGTCTCCATCCCAGGTGCCTTGGGGAGTGTTGTCCTGCTTGACTTGGCAGAGCTGGTGTGCCGAAGCGCTGATCCAAACCATGGCCAACTTTTCCCATCCTGCTTAGACTTGCCTTGGAGAAGAATCCTTCCAGAAAGAAGTCCTGGAGGGAGAAGTAGTGAGAGCAGACAGGGCACAGGCAGTTTGTTCACGCTGGAGGCCCTGGGCACCGGGATCACATGCAGCCAGGTCTTGCTTAGTGTTTTTATTGTTTACAGTACTACTAGATAATCCTTCCAGTCTGCTGGCCACATTTAAATAACCTTCATGTGCTCCCTGTTTGCTTTAGCAAGGGAACAGCCTACGTGGGCTGCTGCTGATCTCTCCTGTCAGGTGTTCGGCGCCAGCGTGTTGCTCCTGCCGGAGATGCTGGTGCTCAGACTTCCCCGTCAGCCCTGCCGTGTCCTGTGTTTACAGACCAGGGTTTCGTCCAGGGGGGCTCATCCTAGCCTGAAGCTGGCAGACGGGGACTGGGGTTTGGGGGCTGTTCACAAGCCTCCTGGGGACTATCCCACCTGGTGATAGCATTGGCAGCAGAGGCGTTTTGGGCAGCTAACTGGAGGCTTTTGGGGATTGTCTGCAGTTAAGGTTGGGAAGCGAGCGGTGGCAGGATCCCCGTGCTAGCTCCCATGGGAGCCTAGGGTCAGATTTGGCTCCCTCTGCCATCCCTGAGACAATGCCAGTGCCTGAGTGTGCCGGCTCTGCTTCCCCACTGTGCTGCGTATGCCCTCCTGTTTGCTCATGTTCATCGTAGTCTAGGACCATGTGGCACCTTCCTGCACGGAGCCAAAGGCACCAGAGCATGGCAGGTATGCCTGGCTGGTGCCCTACGTGGTCGGGAGGCTACATTTGCGTGAATTCCCTGTTTTCTGCAGCTAGAAGTCTGTTCATGTGTTGTAGATATGCAGATTCCTTAGCATTAGGATGCTTTCCTGTGCCTGTTTCTAGCAATGGATGTCAAACAAGGAGGGTCAAGCATCCATGCTGAACTCCACTAGCGTGAGCCTGTAAATTTTCGGGCAGGACTGGGACTTGCCAGGGCAGCCCTGCTCTTCCTAGGGGAGCCGGCGGCTCAGGGGGTGGCACTCTTCGCTCAGCCGGGCTGTGATTCCCTTGGCCTCGTTGTGCGGTTGGTGCCTGGCCGGGATCGGATGGGCTCTGTGCAGGTCCGCGTAGGCGACCTGCTTGGGGTGGAGGAGCAGGGACCCCGAGCTGTGCCTGCCCTAGCCAGGCACTGGGCCACTGGGTCGGGGGGAGCTGCAAGCCTGTGTTTGGAGGTGGTGTGGTCACTGCAGACCCCGTTCCTAGAGCTCCCCAGAGGTACAAAACAGGAGACTTGCTGGGCTGAAGGTTGTGGCATTGGCCTCTCTTCTGCCCTGACCTGTAGTACTTTCCCCTTGCATGCCCTCCTCCCTTTTCTGGGAGTCTGTCTGCAATGAAGCAGGGTTTCTGCCTGCTTCTGCCTGCTTTGTATTGCTGGAAGAGTCTCCTAGGGTCCTTCCACCGTTGAGATTAATTCCCTGTCAGGGTTTAACCTGCCGGAGTGAAAGAAAGATGAGTGATGAAGGTACCAATGGGTACTGCCTGGTACCTGAGCTGGCACTGAGGAGGGCTGTTGGGCAGCTGATGGAGGGGTGGAGGGAGCCAGACCCCAGTGTCCTGCACCTTACCTTGGACCCCTCCTTCCTCAGGAGATGGGTCTGTGGCCTCTGCAGAGAGCTGGCCCCCGTGGCTGCCGGCTTGCTCTCTGCATGGATGCTGACGTGTCTCTGGAGTGCTGGGCTTAGGCTGCCAGCCCTGGCTGTGCAGTCGCTGACAAGCTGTGGCATGGCCACCGTCTGATCTTACAGGTGGCGGTCAAGTAGAGAGCATTAACATCCCATTGCTAATCCCCTGCAGCATCTATACTGCGTGTAGAGAGCTACTAAACCTTCTTGCTAACCTTGCTGTCCTGCCCTCCTAGCTCCTGTGTGCGTACTGTTTCAGGCCATGTCACTGCTAGGACTTGGTGTGTGACCTGTACCAGCAGCCACTTGTCTCCCCCAAGCCCCAGGCTCACTGTTTTCACAGCATCCCACCATGTCCTTCCCTTGTAACTCCGACAGGCGACTGATTAGACTGCACCTCTCCTTGCTGCTCAGTGCCACTGGTAGAAGTTGATGCTGTAGTTCACGTGCTTTTGAACAGCTTGATGAGTTTTACAGTGAAGCTTTGGTTTGAAATGAGTGTATCCCCCTGCCCTGCCCCATCTGCTCCACCTTGTCTGTTTGTGATACAGATGCAGACATCAAGAGGAACCCAGACTCCAGCAGGAAATCCTTTCTCTCCTCAGAGTCCATGTACGTCTTCGACTCATGGCGAGACATCTTGGTACCGAGTTCCCCTTCCTGCCCAACTCTGCTCTTCCATGTGCATCAGCTGCTGTTTGGCACTGGAGTGGACATCCCTCCCTCCCTCCCTCCAAACCTTTACTTAGCAGTGGGGCACTGGGTCCTAGTCTTAAATTTGGGAAGCAGCACCTGGGATGATCAGGATATTGACATGAGGTAGATATGATATGGACTGGTGTCAGGAGAGGTGCCCATACCTCCTAGCAGGTAAAAGGCTGGGGAGAGGACTTGGCACAGCCTGGAGCATCTGGACTGGCTGCTGGCTTGCTGCTGGCTCTGAGCCTCCCCTGCCTCCCCCCCTCTCAGCTGGGACGGCCTGTTAGACTACGTGGTGCTGCCACCTTCTCTCCAACCCTCGCTGCTGTGCTGTGACCCAGAGGTGGAAACGCTGGCACACAGCGATGCTCACAGACTCTCTGTGCAGTGCAGCAGCAGCTTAAACGTGAAGTGCTCAGTCCTTTCCTGGTACTCCCCTGTGTGGAGAGGTCGGGGCTGTGGGGCAGTGAATCACAACCTGTTTCAAGCATAGCTGCTGTGTTCGTGTTCTGAAAGCAAAACCTCTTTGGGATGCAGCGACCCCTCTGCTCGTTGGGTGAGATACAAAGCTGTGTCCATGCTAGGCAGCTTCTTGGGTAGGTTTGTACTGGGAGAGCAGTTATTTCTGGCTTGTACAGGCACTTTGCAGCTTCCTCTGCAAACAGGCACAGGTTTTGTTAAGTAAGATATGTTTTGCTTGCCTTTCTAAACAGTTCTTGTTGTGCCATTAGCCAGCTTTGCTTGGGGGCAGCTGCAAAGATAGAAATCAATCACGTATATCAATTTGAAGCCTGTGTAGCAGTGCAGAAATAAGGTACCAGAGTTGAAGGGAGAATCTTTGGCTTGAGCTGGGACCGGCATCAGGGCTTGTGAGAAGGGCACAGCTGTAAGACCCGGTACTAACCACTCCCTTTGCTGTCTAGATCCTACTCCTTCCTTAATTCCAACTCGGCGGAGGCCGTGGCCATGGGCTTGCTGAAGCAGTTTGAGGGCATGCAGCTCCCGGCTGCCTCTGAATTGGAGTGGCTGGTCCCTGAGCACGACGCCCCACAGAAGGTAGGGGTGTGAGTCCCCAGTCACAAATTGCATTTGATCTTCCCCGAACCCCTGGCATCAGCCCACTGCTGAGGGGCTTTGCTAGTCCTGATGATCCCTTTGTGGAGCTGGAGGAGGGGTTTCATCCAGGCTCCGGAGATGGGTGTAGCCAAGAGGGGCTCTGCCACTGCAGTGTCCTACAGCAGAGTGCCCGGATCGCTGGGGACATCCCTTCTCCAGCCCCCATTCAGCTGGAGCAGCAGCTTGGTGCCTGGCAGTTTTCCAGAGGGCTGCAGTTGCAGGTTTCTGACAAGGCAGCCAGTGCCTTGCCTTTGCAGTACCAGGCAGGGATCTGACCCTCTCGCCTGCCTCTCCCAGCTCCTGCCCATCCCTGACTCTCTGCCCATCTCTCCCGATGACGGAGAACATGCCGACATCTACAAGCTGAGGATTCGGGTGCGCGGAAATCTGGAGTGGGCCCCACCGCGACCACAGATCATCTTCAATGTTCACCCAGCCCCAACGTAAGGACCCGCGCGGCTGAGGGCTCTCTGGGGACATGCCCTGTCCAACCCTTTTCCATAAACACTAAGGTTGATTATCATCTCCTTCCCGCTTGATCACTGGGGCTTCCCGACTCTGAGCCTGGTAAATCCATGGTGGTCACCACCGGCAGCTGGTGCTGTGAGATGGAGCCAGTGCCTGTGGTCGGTGCCTTTGCACAACAGGGCTTTTCCCCTTGGATTTGTTGTCCACACTTAAGTGGCAAAGCATGTGGCCACCTCTGCCATCCAGACCTGTGCCAGTGCCCATCCTCTGGTGCCAGGTGCCTTCAGGGCTGGACTCATGCATGTTGTCTTCTGTCTCTGGGCAGGAGGAAGGTAGCCGTGGCCAAGCAGAATTACCGGTGTGCAGGCTGTGGCATCCGGACTGATCCTGGTGAGTGCTGGGACCCTGATCCATAGCTGGAGAGTGGGGAAGAACCTGTGAACAAGTGGGAAGACGCAGAGTGGGTGGGTGGTGGCAGAGCTTAGCAGAAGGTCACTGGGGAAATGGTGCGCTGCCTTTGCCAGCTCTGCTTGCACGTTGGTGTGCACCACCCACAGAGGAGCCTTCTTCTCCAGAAGATCATGGGGCTGGTGGAGGCAAAGAACAGCCAGCCTGTCCTTTGGAGGGCATTTCAGATGTTGACTCTTCCAAGGCAAAGTCATCTGTTGGGGGTCCTAAAGGTCCCAGCAGATTCTGCTCTGGGTACAGCTTTGACCAGCTCTGTTTCCTGAATGTGTAGGTAGATGTGGCTGCATGAGACTGGACTGTGGTCTCAAACGCTTTTGCAGTCGGTAGGGGTGTTTGCAGACCCCAGTGTTGAGCGGTCTGGGGCTGGAGGAGGTACTGGCAAAGCAGACTGCTTTGCTTGTTGGAAATGCTGAGCAACGTTGGGAGTCCAATATGTGGTTGGGCAGAGCCCGTGCCTCGGCTGACCTCCCTGTCTGCCGGGGTTTGGCCAGATTACATCAAGCGGCTGCGGTACTGTGAGTACCTGGGGAAGTATTTTTGCCAGTGCTGCCACGAGAACGCCCAGACGGTCATCCCCAGCCGCATCCTGCGCAAGTGGGACTTCAGCAAGTACTACGTGAGCAACTTCTCCAAAGACCTGCTGAGCAAGATCTGGAGTGACCCGCTCTTCAACGTGCAGGATATCAATCCTGCCCTGTACCGGAAAGTGAAGTCTCTCAACCAAGTGTGGGTAAGACCCTTTCCATACCTTCCTGAGTGGGGTTTGGGTGAGGTGGGTGGCTGCCAATTGTAAACCGTATCCCAGGGAAGCTGGGGAGAAGCGGATATTTCAGTTTTTGAGGCTTAAAAGCTCAGCACCGTGGGTTTCCATTCACCTCTTGTTCTTTGTCCAGTAACGTAGGAATTTCAGAAGGAATTTCTGCCTGGTGTCCAGCTGGGCTTCGGTTTATCTCCTGGAGCACATGACGATGGTTGTGCTCGCTTTGCCCTGCGTGGTGTAAACACTTCGGTAGCAGGGGAGCGGCAGCTGGGGAGCAGCCGTCGTTTCACCAGCGCAGGAAACGGGGCAGGCGTGCTTGGCCAAGGACCGTGCTCTGTTTACTGATTCTTGTGTCCCCCCTTCCTCTCCAGCTGCTGCGAATCCAGCTTTTCCACATGAAGAACATGTTTAAGACGTGCCGGCTAGCTAAAGAGTGAGTCCCAGGCTGTGAGATGAAGCTGTTTTGCTGTCCTGGATCTGTCCCGTGGCAGTTTGCAGTGGGGATCTGTGCAGCCTGTGCGATGAGCAACGTGGGGAGAGGGGAGTGGAGGGGGAGAAAAAGCAGAAGCAGTGGAGAGAGGGGGCTTAGTGGAGTAACTGTGCTCTGAGCTCTGGTTTCTCTGTCCTTGCAGCCTCCTAGACTCCTTCGATGCGGTGCCTGGCCACTTGACGGAGGATTTGCACCTTTATTCGCTGAGCGACCTCAGCGCCACGAAGAAAGGGGACCTGGTGCCTCGCCTGACGGAGCTCCTGAAGGCAGGCAGCCTGCACGTTGAGAAGTGCATGGTAAGGCCCCCTCGCCTGCCTCCTGCACTGCTCCGCACCCTCGGGAGCAGGCTTTGCTGCAAAGATAACCGATGGGTAGGCCTTTGACGTGCAGGGCAGCCACCAAATTAACTGATTCAATGCTAAATGCTCCTGCCTGCTTCAAGAGCTTCTACCTAGCACGTATGGGATCTTTGTTATCCCATTTTGGCTCTCCCCCAGCCCTGACACATGTTGATTCTGCCTTGTTGTGCTCCATGCTGGGGAAGGGCTGTCCCACATGATTAGAGCAGGGCACCATGTCCTGCTCCGCTCTACCTCCTGCCCTGCTTGCCAGGGAGATGAGGAGCATTTAGCTGCTTTTTCCTCACCTTTTCTCCTTCCAGCTGTGCCAAGCCAAAGGCTTCATCTGCGAGTTCTGCCAGAATGAGGGCGACATCATCTTCCCCTTTGAGCTCAACAAGTGCAGGACATGTGAAGGTGAGATGCTGGGGAGAAACAGGGAGGGGACAGACCCTGGGGCCACGAAGGTCTGCCTCCAGTTTGAGAGGCATTTGTGCTAGCAAGAGTTACAGAGCCAGAGCCAGCCAGACCAGAGTGCCTCTGTGCATGGCCTGTGTCTCTGAACCACGTTATTACAGCAGGTCAGCATTATAACGGTGTTTGGCCAGAGCTGCTGGCGCGGTAGAGTGTGTGGGTCCCTTCCTGAACCACACTGTGTGCTGCCTGCCCCGGCGGCAGCGGGCAGTCGGGTTGTGACTGCAACGAGTGGGTGTCTGGGAGCTCTGGCTTCCCTTCTGCTGTGGTTACGGGACAGGCTGCAGCCTGCACGCAGCTCCCCTGCCCCTGCTTGGATGGCTGGAGCTGACCTTGCAGAGCAGAGAGAGAGCCTGAAGGCTTTGTCTCTGTGCCCTTCCTGCCTGCCAAGAAATCCCTGGGCCCCTTCAGGAGTCATCCTCAATAATGCCCAGTACTAATGGCCAAGCAGAGCTTGTCCCTGCAGCTTAGGACCAACCTCTGAACTGGCTTGAAATGGCTCCTGACAACATGCAAGCCTTGGTTTGGCAGGTGCAATGCCAGAGAAAACTTGGGGCAGAGTCGCTGTTTCCTTGGAGAATCAGGAAAGTTTGGGGAGGGACCTTGTGCGGAGCAGGAAACGTCCCGCCTGTGCTCCCAAAGGCTTTGTAAGCCAGTGCAGGGTCCCAGTGGCGTGATTTCTTGCTGCTTCCAGAACGGTCCTGGACCCCTGCTTCTGGTGCTTTTTCTGACATCGCTTTGGTTTGAAATGTCCTCGTACACAAGCCTAGAGCATCCCTCTGGGGTGCGGAGTGTCAGGCAGTCTGTGTCAGCCTCTGACAGCTCTCAGCCATGTTCTCCCCTGCAGAGTGCAAAGCCTGCTACCACAAATGCTGCTTCAAATCCACTCACTGTCCCCGCTGCGAGCGGCTTCAAGCCCGGAGAGAGCTGCTGGCCAAGCAGAGCATGGAGTCCTACATCTCGGACTACGAAGACGAGCTGGAGCAGCCAGAGGCGGTGACAGCCACATGAGCATGTTGCAGCAGAGGAGCAGATCGTGGGTTTATTTACGTACGTGGTCTTTGTCACCAAAGGCTGAGCCACATGGACTGGAGATGAGGAGGACTGTCAGGAGGCCTGGAGCGCTGTCTCAAAGGGATCTGTTTTCTCCTGTGCGGTAGTGCTGGGCTGAGGAAGGGGCATCTTCCATCGTCTGGGTCTGCTCTAGGTACTGCTCACACTCCCCAATGCCTTTGCTTGGGCCCCTGCCTGTCCTGCAGGCAGAGCAGGGGCCTTTTCCGAGCAGTTGTTCATGCTGGACCGGGCAGGGCTGTGCTGCCAGTCCCCGTGCCCTGCTCCCAGGCAGGGTCCCCTGGGGGGTCAGCACTTTCTGCTCATCAGCTCTATACTAGGAAACTCTGGCCACGTCTGCTCCTTGGAGAGGAGAATCAGCTCTCCAAGTCCTCCGATCCCCTGTCCTGCTGCTGGGGGTTGTGTGCATGGAGGGAAGGTGGGGGTTGGGGGTTGGTTGTACATTTAACAGCTCCCTTTCTCAAATCTGGCTTGGGACACTGCTGGAGAGCAGTTGCTCTCCAGGATGAAAGCAGAGGAGGTGGCAGTGGTGAAAATGCCAGATTTCTGCCTCGCCTCTCTGTGTCATCTCTGCTGAGCTGCTTTCCCTGCCCTCCGCCCGCAGCCTGTGCTGCAGAGGGGCATTGCTCCCAGAGCAGCTGCACAAGGGGACCGGTGCTGCCGGACTTTTGGCGGAGGCAGGTCCCCATGGCCAGAGGATGCAGTAAGTGAGGTTTCCAACCCCGCTTCCTCCTCATGCTGCCAGTCTGTTGTCCTGATGGGACATGTCCTCCTTTAAGGGTGACATGGGACCTCACTCTGGTGGCACCAGGACCTGTCTTGCGTGCAGCTGCCTTCTGCAGAAACCTTCGGGATGCAGGTGAAGGCTCAGCCCTCCAGCCACATCCCCCAAGCCTCCGTCTCAGTTTGTTCTTTTAGGTTGGGTTTTTGTTTTTTAACCTGCTGGATTTGGTTTTATTTTTTTTAATTCAGTTATTTGTACTTTTAACTGTGTTCCCCCCCAAGGAGGTGCTGCTTGAAATGCCTCTTTAGGGGACATGCGATCTTCTTGGCACTCACCGGTAGAAAACCTTCAGGGCTGTCCTGCTCCTGGTTCCACACCCCTGGATGGGGCTGGCATTTGCCAGGTATCCTCTCTCCCAGCAGATCTCCTGTTCCCTTTGGGAGAGGAATCTCTGAGCCAGGCAAAGCCTTGAGGCTTCCCTGCTGCCGTGCAGCGGGATGGCCAGGCAGCCTGCTTGCGGTGGGGGGTGCACAGGGGAGAGGGGTTTGGCACTGGGGTGCTGCAAAGGGTTGGTCCCTCACCGATGCAGAGCTGCCCGCCACTACCGATGGTTCCGCGGGGTCGGACCCGGTGGTACAAGGTGACCTCTGTGCTCTGGGGCTAGCGGTCAGTCAAGGAGGTGCTTCTGCATCGCAGGGGGATGCTTGAGCCCATGGCATGGGTGAGTGTCCAGCACCACCTCAGCATGGGTGGGATGTGGGGTGGCAGTGGGGTGTTTGGAAGGATGGTGTGGCCTGTGTATGTGTGAGAATGGTGTTGAGGGACCGGGGAGCAGTACACTGGCAGAAAGCGTCTAGGGGCAATGGCTCTTGCAGTGCGTGCCCTGGCTCGAGGCTGGGATGTGGGCTGTCCCTGCGGGGGTGGCAGGGTTGGGGCAGGTGGGAGAGGCTGGGACCAGGAGAGGTGGCTGCAGGGCTTGGTCAGGGAGGGTGGCTGCAAGCCTCGCTGCTGGGGGCCAGGCTGCTGCATGGCAGCACCTCTCCCCTGCTCTGCAGCATCCTGACAAAGCCAGGTCTAGCCTGGGAAAGGGGGTTCAGCTCCCCACTTGCTCCCCTGGGGTTTTTTACTCCTCCTGTCTTACTTCTGCTTGTTTTCCCCATGGGAGCAGCTGCTCTCCCGCTCAGTCTCCATCTCTGCAAGCCCTGGGGCTGCCAGACGCTGGTCTGCCTTCGTCTTGCCTGTCCCCAATCCCAAGCTGAGCCCTCCCGCTGCTGCCCAGAGCTGGCACCCCCTTCCCTGGAGCTGCCTTAGCAGCACACCTCCATCCACCCTGTTTTGTTTGAAGCACTTTAATGTCATGGGACAGCAGCTGAGAGGCTGCCCGCATCCCTTTCTAGAAGCACTGAGTACATTTAGAGAAGAGGGAAGGGATTTTGGCTTACTTGTGGTTTTCACTCTCCACCATGGACTTTCTCTGGAAGCAGCGGGACTTGCAAACCCGGCAGAGGTCTCCAGGGCAGGATTGTGCCCAGCACTGACACTGCTGCCCAGCTCTGACCACTACGAGTAACACTGGAACTGGCCAAGGCAGTGAGCTCTTTGTAAGCGAGGGGCTGCCCTGGCCATCAACTGGAGCCCTCCCTACAGGACTATTGCACAGCATAGCAACGAAAATGCCGTCCCTAATAAACTAAGTTAATAAGGGGCCTGGTTGTGTTGTGGCATTGTTTCAGGTGGGGTAACGTTGTGTATCCCCCCCCCTTGGGGTCAGTGCTGCAGTGCCTCTTGGCCCCTAGGGCAGGGAGGGGTCGGGATGCACTAGCTGATGGCAGCGGGCATTGGGGGGGGACAACTTGTGCAACTAGTGCTGCATCGCTAGATGTCACTGGGAGGGGGTTATTGTCACCACCCCTTGACTAATCCATCTGGTTTAGGGCCTCCCCCTGCAAACTGCCTACTGGACTCGGGGCAGGAGGTACAAGCCACTGAGTAAGGGGCTCTCTGTAATGCCTGTCCCCTTCCTGAGCCTGCCTTTGCTGCTGGCAGAGGGGCCCAGGGGCATGGCCTTGGCTGCCCCATCCCTGCTTGCATCCCTGTGCCATGCAGCCCGCCTCTCCCCTCGCAGTGGTGTCATGCAGCACCCCATAAACACCATAGACACAGGAGATGATACAAACCGAAAACTTTAAAACAACTGTTGAAAGTTGTGTGTGCAAGCCCAGCACAGCGCTGGCTCTGCATGGAGCGAAGCAGGGCTTCCCTGCGGCTAGCACAGCATGAGGAGCCAGTTTCTGGGGCCTTTTCCCCAGAAAAGCCCTGCTCAGCCTAAATCTAAGCTGTGGTTAGCAGCAGCAAGGGTAGCTTGGGCTTGCTGCTGAGCATGGTGGTTGGAGAGAGGTTTCTGGCAGGCATGGGCACGCTGCCAGCTGTCCTGGTTTCAGCTGGGAGGGTTAAATTTCTTCTTAGTGCTGTGTTTTGGATTTAGTATGAGGAGAATGTTGATAACACACTGATGTTTTCAGTTGTTGGTAAGTGCCCTCCTAGTCCAAGGACAGCCCCCCTGCCTACTGACTGAGCTAGGTACACAAGATGGGAGGGAACATAATCCCTGGGGCTCCAGCAGCTGCCCCAGCGCAGCAGCTCAAGCAGGGGGTGATGGCAGAGCAAAGAAATGTGCAAAACCCTGGGGCTTGCCGCTGTTACAGCGAGCCCTCCAACAGAGCCCAGGGCGATCCCTGGCCGGGGTGTAAGGTGTGAGCTGGCACCTTGGCAAAGGCTCCGTCCCCAGCACGGAGGGACACGAGCAATCCCAAAGCATGCTGTGCCCATCACTGGGAGAGTGTGCGGGGAGCGTAGCGGCGCTCAAACTGGCCCACGTCAAACTTGCGCTTGCAGCCGGTGTAGTTCATGTAGCGGATCTTCCCGAAGATGGCCCTCTCTGCCCAGCC